ACTTCACTATTTATTGTGAATTTGAATACAATAAAAAAAGTTCTACGATAATCTGCAATCGTTTCTTTACGTAATTACGTATGGTATGTGTTTTAGAACCATCGTATATTTGGTGTTTCCCGATCACATATAAAATAAGTTCAGAATTTGATAATAATATAATACGTCAAAGCAGGTCCGTATTGGTGAAACTTACAAACAAATAGGTAAATAAAATGCTTTATTGACGTTAAATAAATGTAATAATATTACAAACAAACAAATGATTTACATAACACAGCCAGCATTCTATTCAAACTTGGCGTATTTACTTCACATGCTCTTAGAAATAAAACAACTTATATTTACTTCCAAGTTTTTAACGAATATTCGGGGCCGAACAGGGATTTGCTGGCCGAATATTCGGTATGAGAATTTACTATTCGTTTCAGCCCTAAACCACAATGTACTAGGGTTTACGCTACATATATGACTTCGAGCTTCGTCGTTTTTCTATTGTTAAATGTACTTGGAAATAATGACTGATTTTTGGATTTATTTGATGAACGTCGTACTAATTCGCTTGTATCTCGAAATCGCCACATAGAAATTCAAATTGCCACATACAATTTATTCGTAAGGTGATATGCTACACGCATTACGTGCTTTTTCAATCCAACTTTTGTAATAAAATCTCCAACAAGGGGCATGAAAATCATTAGAGCGTTGCGTTCAGATGAAATTTAATTTGATTAGGCTTTTTTGACGTATAATCTCAAGTAGTTGAAAAGTAGATAGCCTATATATAAAATTACATGTTCCATGTATTTTGCTGACAAATTCCGTTAAAATAAATTTTTTAAATCATATCTTACCCATATGTCCTCTGTGACACCGACCTTACTGCCGTTTATGAAAAGAAAAACTGTTATTTTGAATTTTTTTACTCATCCGTTAATTAACCGATCGTCGGTCAATTAACGGTTCGTGCTTTAAATACCGTATCATCCGTTAATAGGCAAAATTTACTTTACTGGTTATTGCATTTAATTGTACCTTACTTAATTTAATTGAAATTTTGTAATGTTTATTTTATTGAAGAAATTGTTCCTCCATTTGATAATTTTGTGCAAAAAATTTCACTGCAATTTCCACAGGAAAGTAGTACATCATAACAGACTGACTTCTAGTCAGTCTGTTGGATACATACTAGCAGTATACTGAACAAAAATATTTTTCATTTTTATTTACAGTCAAAACAGAAATGTTTGTGAGTACTTTGAATTTAAAAAATAAGCAATCAAATGACCATATTGAAACAGTTTATATAAAAATAGAAACATTTATATTTATCCTAACTTTTGTATATTTCAGATAGTAGTGTATAATGTGCAGCAAAGTTGTGGCCTTTTGTAATTTAGGGAGTTTCAGCCATGTTAATTTTTCCGAAAATAACATGGCAAAGAAGTATCAAAATATAAGAGGACACAGATATGATAGCTAAACTAGAAAACAAACTAAAATATACAAAAGTTAGGATAAATATAACTGTTTCTATTTTTACATAAACTGTTTCAATATGGTCATTTGAATGCTTATGTTTTAAATTCAAAGTACTCACAAACATAACTGTTTTGACTATAGATCTATTTTTCAAGATTTTTATCATTTTCATGTCATCATAGATCTAATTCATATCTATCAAGGGTCATATGGGGAATTATCCCTTATGGGAATCATTATCACTACAGACTTTATTAAGCCCTTCACTGTACATTTGTTATACAGAGTGTATAAACCTGAAATACACTTGTGACTAGGAGTTTGTGGAGGTAGGTTTTTATGTCACAGAATAGAATATTGTTTATCTAGAATATTCAAAAACATGATGAAACTATATAGTCTACAGAAATTTAAATGATTGTAGAACTATAAGTCTTGAAAAGCTTATGTTGTTCAATGCAGGGGGAGAGCTTTCCCAGAGATGACCTTTCGTATTGGCACGTTCGATAACTTATTTTTTAAACAGGCCTCCATTGAAATGGATCTCACAATGTTTGCTGTTGTTTTATGAGTATTTTCTATAAGTTTGGATATAGAAACTTCAATAGTATTACCATAGTATTGAAACGATGATGTTGAAAGGATGTTAAACTGAAATAAACGCCATTTCCACGATTTCAAATTTTACATTGCACATGCGCAGTCCTGAGAAACCATGCAGGGGTCCAGATAAGCTGAAAAAATTATTAGCCAACGTGGCTAATATCTTCAAAAAAATATTAGCCACTCTGAAAAATTATTAGCCAAAATATATTTTATTAAATGACATAAAATGTGTACTTCAAACGAATTTCACATGTCATTGTCCCTCTAACGCTACTGTATGTCAACCAAGGCTCCCCTGCTTTCTAATCTTGTCTGAAAGAACTCAATGCCTGGGCCATCCTGGCAAGAGGAAATGCTTATCATCTTTGTCTGAATTCCCCTCGGCTAGTTTTCGAATATAACACATCGCTACTGTGTTTTAATCAATGTTAGCATATTCATGACATCTTTCTTTATCTTGATGTTAAATAACAAGCTATAATATTGGTTAACACACCTAAAATCATTAAATTATTATTCAAAGTGTATTTAGAAAATTTTGAATTTAAGCAAGACAAGCAGACAGAATGCAACAGAAAAACGTACGCAACAAGTTTGCAAATAAGAGCTAATGTTAAATTTGCATTGACCCAAAAACAAGTTTTGGCATCACTACTGATTCATTAAAATACTGAACGCAACAGATCTTATGAAGTTGCCCCATGTTAAACTTTCATTGAAACCAAAAATAGGATCCACGGTCCTGTGCTCACACAGTTTGGAACCTTTAATTCAGATGAATGTATATCCTGACTTTCAAACAAAAATATTGATTTGGATTTGTAGTCTCGAACTTTGAGAAACTTAGACAGCACAGTTGTGTGACCTAGTTTGATGACCTTTGACCTTGAAAATTTTACTAATTTAGAGCTCAGTAGGTCTTTTGTGATTAAGCTGACCAAAATTTACATCCAAAAATCAATTTGAAAAATCAACTTTTTTGATTTTTCAAAGGTCACTGAAGGTCAAGTAAAGTTCAAATCCTAAAACTAATGTCAGATTTGAACTCCTGGTAAATTGTAGATGATTTTCAAAAAAATTAGGTCAAATTGAAGCAAGTTGGAAAATAACTTATTTTTACTGTTTTTTGACGTCAAATATCTCAAAAACGGTAAAAATTTGATTTTGTAGGGAATGCTTAAATCTAGTTACGATGTAATTCATTGCAAGAAATGGTCAAGTATAAGGCAAACTTTGAGAAACTTGTCAATCACAAAACCTGCCATTGACTTTATACATAAGAAAGTTTCCTGAAAATGACTAAGTCCTACTTTTTGTCAAATTTTATAGAGTAAACACCAAAAACTGTAATTCCAAGAGCTTTGAAATCTTCAGAGGACATAAGTTGCATATACAGCAACTACTACAAGTTATTTGATAGTTCTACTTCAACAAAGTGTCTAGTATTTACAGAAAATTTGACTTTTTGACGTCAAAATCAGCAATTTCTCGGAAACTGGGCGAACTTGGGAAATGGCGATGATAGGTCAAATAGGCATTATGGATATGCATAAAATGACTGTAGATAGACTCAATCCAAATAGCAGTTTTAATTTGTGCGGCCAATGTTGACAGACGGACAGACGGACGGACCAACGGATGGACCAATGGATGGACGGACCATCGGACGGACGCCTGGTCGATCCCATAGGCTCACTGTGTGAGCCAAAAACAACTGTGGCGTCTCGTGGGGGAAACTACGAATATTACAAAAGTTGAAAACGAAGAATTTCCCCGATAAAATATCTGTTTCTCGGGAAGGTTCAGTACAAAGATCTTCGCCACCTATGCGAATATTTAGATCAATATCTTCGCCAGGTGCTAAAAGTATTCGCAATTGGCGAATGGCAACAGCTTATCTAGATCTCTGAACCACATGCTCATCATTGCTCACGTGATAACATCCTGCAATTTGATTTAACATCATAAACTAGGGAATCCCCGAATACGATAGAATATGAAAGAATTATGGGAGCTACTCACTTCTTCTGGTTCAATGCATATGTACAGTCCAATTCAAAATTCTATTGAGCACTTTGAATTAAAAAAATAAGATAAAATGACCATATTGCAAGAGTATATGAAAAAATAGAAACATATGTACAAGTCCTAACTTTTGTATATTTCAGATAACTAGATATAATGTTAATTTTTTTTTAAAATAACATGGCAGAGAAGCATAAAAATATAAGAGGCCACACATATTATAGCCAAACTACAAAACAAACCAAAATATACAAAAGTTAGGCCTTGTGCATATGTTTCTATTTCTACACATACTGTTTCAATGTGGTGCTTTGATTGCTTGTTTTTTAGATTCAAAGTACTCAATGGAATTATGAATCTGACTCTAGGTAAGACTTAGATGGGGAGGGGGGGTCTCAGATATACAGTAACATACCAAACATTCAGTTTAATTTCCTATTCTTCTAATTTCTCAGGTACTTGTGGAATGAAAAATATTTTGAAAAATTTCCCATACCTGCACATCTTATTTTCTAGTACAAAATAAAGTATGACAGAATCTGTGTATTTCATTGCTTTTTTCTTCAGGAAAGCATAATTTTATTGTCTTTTTTGAATAAACCTGGTAAGAGGTCAATGGTAACTCCAGTAAATGCTGATATTTCAAGAAAATGGCTGCCTTTTCATTTTTCAAAATTTCTTCTTAAAGTTTCTCAACACCACTGGATTGCCATTGACCTCTTACCAGATATACTAAAAGAAGGCAATGTAATGATACTTTTGTGAAAAAGCAAGTAACACACATGCCATCATATTTTATTTTGTACCAGCAGGTATAGAAATTTTTCAAAAATGTTTTCGTTCCATCAGTACCTTAATTTTTACAATTTTCTTTTTATAACTTTTAGCTGTAGTCTTGCGATCCAACTGGCTAAAGTGCGAGAAACTGTACTTATCATCTCCACAGATCCTGCACATAATATTTCAGATGCCTTTGATCAGAAGTTCAACAAGGTTCCAACTAAAGTGCGGAGCTTTGAAAACCTGTTTGCAATGGTAAATACTACTATACTTCATATCAAGTCAGTTTGTAGGATTTCTTAACTCAACTTTCATAATTGCAGTTGATAATTTTCAAAAGTCTAATGATTAGCTGTGTATCTTGTATAGTACCATTGCCTTAGGTTCAATTCTCATTCTGCACCCTGGTATCCTAAATTTGAGAATATAAATTCATTGATTATTTGTGTCTGAAAAGGATATTGTGTGTGACACATTGATTCAATATCTGGCATATTACTTTCAGGAAATTGATCCTAATATGGGATTCTCTGAGTTACCAGAAGAATATTTTGAGGAACAAGGTAAGTTCCCTTAAGAATGTATATCCCATTTCTATCCCATCCATTTCCGGTTGAGAAAACAATATATGAAAAATTTGCAAGATTAGCCAAATAAAATTACTTCTGGTATTTATTGCCAATTTGAATTTCATTTTGTCTTTTTGAAATTAGCCAAATAGTCTAGAATATTTTCAAATAAAAGCCTCTAGAAAGAGTGAGTTCTTACATTTTGGCGAGCACCCTAGAGACCTGTATCAAAATAATCCTTTATACCTTACAAACGATTTGTGAGATTTGCCAAGGGGAATGAGGTGTCGAAAGGCACTAATTAGACGATTAATTAGTATAGCATTCCTCATTTCTTAACTAGTTCAATCAATACAACCAGTGTTGATCACCACATAAATGCCAAAACAGCTGTGGTCAATGTGTCAATTGTTTCATCCTGGACATGTGCCAGTGTTTTGAAAAAATCCATAGATTACAGTACTCCATCTGCTTTGATTTATTTTACTTAACAAGTAAACCAATAATCAGAATCACACTACAGCATTGCAGCATTGTCTGCTCCTCAGATTCTCTCATAAGGGAGCTACTGTATTTATAAGTCTGTTATCACATAAAAGACATATTAAAAGTACATGCTTATTTGATATACCAAATGGTTATTTGACATACTGTAAGTAACCCATAATCAAGTCACGTTGTATAAGGTAGTCTAGCTACAAGCCTCTGTGATCCCTCCCCCTCTACTTGAGTAAACAATTCTTCTCACACAGAGCCTGTAGCTAGACATACAACAGTGCAATTAAGAAGGGATATTTTGATGTACCAAGCTAAGAGGATACTTGGTCTTGATCATGACTTGAGTGCTAAGACTGTCACAAAGCGTTTTCGTAACATGCTTGATATTTAAAATTGATGGTACCAATGAAATTACAGTCAATAAATAAATGAGAATAATTATGAAATAGAAGATGAAGGTGAAAATCACATTAAAATGTTAAATGTACTATTATTAATCATGAGTTCTACATTCATACCATACCTACACTGCCCAATGGAATGTAAAGCTTATTGCTCAGTGCCAATGAGTCCAGTGTCAAGGATCAAATGTACTGCTGGGTGCAAATGTGATAACAGATTGACGCAGTGCAGTTCAAATCTTTGCTAATTGTTAATAAATACTTTTTGAATCAACAATTAACATTGTTAATGGTGATGCTTTCAGTGTTAGTGATAATTTGATTGAGAGAAGTATTTTAAAGATAATTTTGTATCAATAGATTTCCTATTTATGATCATTTTTTACAAATTTCATTGACCTTGTTATAGAGGATACATTAAAATATTCATTGTAGATCTCCGCTACATCACAGATAATAATCATATGGTGTTTTCATTAACTAACATATGAACTAGAATATACATAAAACAAAAGGTATACATAGAAGGGCCGTAGCCCGCTTTCAACCAGCTGATGAGGGGGGGGGGGGCTGCGATGGTAGTATTTTAAAAATTGGTGCAACCTCCTTCAAAATTGAGCTAGAAACTTCAAAAAGCATTCTAAACCTCTCATCTCTTTTTTTGGTTGTATTTTTGGGTGGGGTTGAGATCGCACCAACTGCAACCCCCTGTTTTAACTCCTTGCAGTAATGTTAATTCAAGTGCCTTTGAATTCGCAAGATACAAACCACAAGACAATACCTCAAACAGCTTCGAAAATCTCTCAAAATCGATAACAAATAGTTTTTCTCACTTTTTTATAATCAATCAGACTATATTTGTTAAAGTTAAATTTCAAAAAATATATTTCAATTTTTTAATTTCTCTTGTAAAAACGCATTTCACCCAAAACACATTTTGGCACCTATTTCATCTTGGTATATCTCAGTATCAAAAAAGGAACCCTTGATTAAACATGGTATATTTCATATAATAATTTTTCTAAAAATGTTCTTTTTAACATAAAATTATTTTTGCAAAAAACACATTTTTTACCCCAAAACTTACTTTGACACCTATTTCATCTTGGCAAATCTCAGTATCAAAGAAGGAAAGCTTTACCTTTCAATTATATACCATGGTTAAGCTGCTCTTCAAAATATGTTAACGATGTCATCATGTTTTGAACACACTCGTTTTAGTCGATATTGCATGCAAATCACAAAGAAAAAACTATTAAGCTCCCAAAATCCCCCTAGTTGATTAAACATGGTATATTTTGTCTTTTGAGAGTCAACTAGACTGTATTTTATATAATAAATTTTCAAAAATATTTTTTATCAATTTAAAAAAATGTTTTGCAAAAAACACATTTTTTACCCAAAAAGTCACTTCGACACCTATTTCATCTTGGTAAATCTCAGTATCAATAAAGGAACCCTTTACCTTTCATTTGATAACCATGGTTAAGGTGCTCGTCAAAATGTAAGATGTCATTTTATTTTCAACATACCTATTCTAGACTAAAAATAAACCTTAGACTTTTGAAAAATCCTGAAAATACAAATTTAAATAGTGACAATATAAGCAGAAGAACGGTAATACCTGTTTCTAAAACCTCCCAGTACATTGCTTATGTTATAACATACTTGTACATGTAAATTTTAAATTAAGAAAGTTTTAAATTTATTACTGAGCTCGTTTTGTATGAATACACTAATATTTTAGATTGTATAGTTAATCTACTCTTATTTTCAGATGTGCGCAGTATGGGCAAGGCCATGATGCAGGAGCTGATGACGGCATTCCCAGGTATAGATGAGGCTATGAGCTACTCTGAGGTCATGAGGTATGATCATCTATTTTAAAGTACATTATTGTTATTTAGTAAGCTAAAATTACATTCATAGACTACAACTAAATATTTTATTTATTTAGTTGTTTATTTATATATTTAGATATTTATTCATAGATATTTATTCATCTCATTTAAATAACATATGAGCCAGGGCATAGGAAAAGGGGTCTTATAACCAAATTTTTCAATATTTTGAGTTTTTTGTTTATCTTAAATTTAAGCATAAAGAGACCTTTCAAATGAGCCATGGCCTTTGTTTTAACAATTTTTCCTGGCAGATTCTACCAAAAAGACAGATTTGAATTTAGCACATTTCTTTTTAATCTTGGGCACATTTTTGACTCTGTAGCACAAATTCAATTTGTCAATGTTAATTTTAAACTATGAAGTGCATGCTCCTGCTAATTGTTAGTCATGCTCTTCAATATTTATATTGCATATTTATTCAGCTTTATAATGCTCATGATTATTTCTGCTTCAGGTTGGTGAAAAAGATGGACTTCTCAGTGGTTGTGTTTGACACTGCTCCTACTGGTCATACTCTCAGATTACTCTCATTCCCTGCAGTTGTGGAGAAAGGATTGGGAAAAATATTAAGCCTAAAAAATAAAATTGGCCCATTTATCTCACAGGTACATAATATTCTCTATTCTGAACATGGTTGACTTTGTAATACTGCATGATATATCGTCATAGTATTTTATTTCAGAATATCTGCACAAAAGTCTCCTGATACCTTGCTTTAGAAATAAAGTCCATTTGTATTACAGACAACAATTTATATCCATAAATATTAAACTCTCGAGTTAGATTACTTTAAGAAAACATCTGAATTACTTCTGAAATAAGCAACTTTCAACCACAATTTTCATGTCCATGAGTGTATAAGCCTATTAGTTTAGTTTAGTTTAGTTTATTTATTTATTTATAGTGGTCAGTCTTACAATTTAATTATAAAATATAAAAAATTAATTACAATTTTACCCAGCCCACCATGGGCTTATTAACCACTGTTAACAATATAAAATATAAAATTAATACACGAAAATCAATATCACAGGTTGTAAATGAATTGCCTTCTCCGCACAAAAGCCATCTTAATAAATTTAACAATTTTATAGGTATGTTCCCTGAAAAGAAATTCAATTTTGCTACCTTCATTATCCAAATCTTTAAAATCTACCTCATCAAAATATGTTTTAGTAATAATTAGTAATATTTCTGTCCTTGTGTTTCAGATGGCTGGTATGATGGGCATGGCTGACATGAATGCTGATACTATGACACAGAAGTTAGAAGAAATGTTGCCAACTATAAGACAAGTCAATGAGCAGTTCAAGAACCCAGTAAGGATACAAGTCCACTGATATATCATCAGAAATATGAATCACTGATAAGTCTAATTATCCCACCGAATGAAGTTCGAGGGGGATATAGAAAAGCCGTCCATCCCTACGTTTGTGTGTCCGGGCAATAACTCAAATACTGTTTGACTGATTTCATTCAAATTTTATAGGCTTATGCCTTATGGGTGTAGGACCTCCGCTCGATAAGGAATCTTCAATATGGCCGCTAAATTCAAAATGGCGGCCATTTTTTGGAAAAAATATAATCTTTGATAACTCAAATACTAGTGGATGGATTTGGTTCAAATTTTATATGCTGTTGCCTTGGTACAAAGGAGCCTTGCTCAAGAAGACATTTTAAAGATGGCCACCATATTTCAAAATGACAGCCATTTTTCGTAAATATACGTTATCCTTGATAACTCAAATACCATTGAATGGATTAGGTTCAAATTTTACATGCTGATGCCTAGGGACATAGGAGCTCTGCTCAAGAAGGGATTTTCAAGATGGAAGCTAAATTTCAAAATGGCTGCCATTTTTCAGAAAAGAATGTAACCTTTAATAACTCAAATACCTGTTGATGGATTTGTTTCAAATTCTATATGCTGATGCCTAGAGACAAAGAAGTTCTGCTCAAGAAGACATTTCCAAGATGGCCACTGAATTTCAAAATGGCCGCCATTTTTCGTAAAAAACGTTACAGTGGATGGATTTGGTTCCAATATTATTTCCTGATGTTTAGGGAAAAAGGAGATCTGCTTCAGAAGGAATTTCAAAGGCATCAGCTGAATTTCAAAATGGCTGCCATTTTTAGCTCACATGGTGAGATATTGCAATACTCACTTATCGTCTGTCTGTCTATCTGTCTGTCAACTTCCAAATAGTCTCATATCCAGATTTATCCGGAAATATTCCTAGAAACCAGTCCTATGGAATATTTATATCACAAATAATAAGGATTTCAAGAATCTGCAGTCAATTGGAAGATGCAACAAACAGAGTTACCAGCCTGGGAAATGAACTACAATGTCAAGGTTACAGGAGTAACATACTAAATTCATATACCAAGAAAGCTATAACAAGAAATAAATGGATATGTATTAAATACAATATGCAGGAGAATATCATCATGAAGCACTGGAAAATTAATGAGAGAAGAGAACATTAACAAATGGGAGAGTATTCTCACGGTGCCCATGTCAAGCTGCGCGCCTACTTAGGCGCGCAGTTTGTTTCGATCACAAACTGCGTGCCTAACAACATTGCATCATTTAAGTTGGAGTCTGTATTTTGAAATGTAATTTAAAGACATTTATCCTGCATTGTTTTCTTGTTCAATGCGTTCATTCTGTGGCAAATATACGAATCTTGCAAATACTAGCAAAAACTATGTGCAAATAAATCTAAGTTTTAAAACATAAGCAGATTGATGGCATTTTCGTCACTGATTTAACGGAAATTTATACGTAAATCGATCTAGCACTTTAAACATAAATGACAAATACTTTAGACTCGTTTTATATTTAATTCCTTACGCATTTATCATGTATAATTCAAAATATTTCGAGATAAAACAGATAATCAGGAGATTAAAAAGAAATAAAGCACAAACTGCGCGCCTATTTTAGCCAGAAATTACAAACTGTGCGCATACACTATTAAAACTACATATTATCATTGGAATTTCTACAGAGGCAGGTGTAGGTGTTTTTCATATAGCTTTGGAAACTTTGCTTTATTGTCAGATTTTATGAGATATTCATATTGAAAGTCAAAATGTATAATAAAAGTGACAATTAAGTTGGGAACGAAAAAAAACTTTTATTTTCAGATCACCATCTTGGTGGATGGACTCTCATAGTGTTTCAATTATGGGGTTCTACTGTTAGACACATATGTGCCTTACATATGGCGCTTACGTTTTCTAATAATACAAAACAAGCTTGGATAGGCAATTGCAAGCAGTTTGGAAATATTAGGCACGCAGTTTGGGAAATACATGTGAATATAGGCGCGCAGTTTGACAAGAAAAATGTGTCAATCACGTTTATGGCATATTATCGTTTTGAACACAAACTATGCTGCTTTAATCAGATGGAGTGATCTTATATATTCTAGCATACCCTTATAAAAAATTCAACCTTGAAAGTCCGAATTTAAACCGTTTCCATCAATCATTGAATACTGATTGTTTCAACTACTAAGATCAAAGGAAAAACCATTGTACGGTGATAAGCAATCATTGTGCAACCATTGCGTTCAACCAAACAAAGTCAACTCTTTTTCAATGACTGTGCAACCATTTCTATACAATCATTGTAATCTGCAACCATTGTAAACTGCAACCATTTCACATTGAAATGTAAATGGTTGCAATACGTTTTGTTCAATGATTACATAGTTCAAGCCCTGCAACCATCCTGCATTGGTATCGTTCCAAAAAATGTAATCATTTTACTTGAATTAAAATTATCTTTAAGTAAGGATTTGAATCTACCTCTATTCAACAACAGTATATTAGGATATTTTTTCTGCAAGCATACATGCATGTTTATTATAGTAAATTACTAAATTCATGTTCATATGTTTCTTTCTCCAGTACGGATTTAGGAATGCGATACCAGACTAGTTTTCCACTCAATGGCATATGATAATTTATGTTCTCTGTCATTTACATTATTTACACAATTAAAAGTACCATATCTAGTGTTTATTTCCCGTTATCTGATATTGCCAAAATAATGTATTTTTAATGTTAATTATGAAAAGAATTGAGCAAAATTCCAATTTGGTTAAGAAATTGACCAAGGAAAATCTTAAGATTTCCTTTAAACTTAACAAAATCACAAGATGAGACACCATTGTTTTTGTTCATGATTAGACTGATATACATGTATGATCAAAAGAAGCAGGGTATGATGTACAAAATAATACAAACATGTAATCACAAGTTGATTGCTTTATTTAGTGAAAATGTTTTTATAGTAATAATGCATTCAGGCACCAAAGACTTAATTTTCACAGTTTCAATGGAAAACATCTGAATTAATAATTTCAGTTAAATTTTGTCAAGGTAGATGGATTACTGCTATACCCATGATATACAAATAGATTGGTTTGGGAACATATTGATATCGGAGGGTTTAGCTCAGGACCCCCGCAAAAGTTTATATACAATAAACAGGCCAGTAGTCAGTCCCCCCCCCCCCCAGCAAAATGGGTCTTCAAATGTATCCATGTGTAGTTAACACCAAATATCAAGAGTATGACTCACTAAAATTTAAAAAATACAAACAAGAGGACTATTTTGATATTGACTGTATATTATGTGTGAAACACATTATTCACAACAGATTTAATTACCATGTTCTTTCTTGGCAAACATTTTTTATAACAATGCTCAACACAACAATACCTACTACATATTGATATTCTCATGGGTTTAAGAAAATCAAAATGCTTGAACAGCCAATTAAAACGGTTGAACAGCTAATTAAAACGGTTGAACAGCTAATTAAAACGGTTGAACGGCTAATTAAAATGCTTGACCAGAAAAAGGGTTCATAGTCCTAGTTTCTGTTATATCTATTTTCATCTTGTGTTATACTATATATTTATTTTAATTATCTATTTCATGCAGAGGGGGGAGGGGGGAGTTAAAATTTAAAAAGTGTTTTCAGATTTTTGAGGGTTTATTTCTTTATTCAATTACTTCAATAAGTGCTGAGAAATCTCAAATAGCAAGTATATGAAACTGCAAATAATATTTTCAGAATTTTTTATTTCATTTTTATTTAGTTTGTTTTACCATAGGCATTCAATAGATTGAAAGTCCATGGTTTTACTTTATTCACTAGGGCAGAGCATTTGTACTGAAAAGTGTTTTCAGTTTAAATGATATGTGTTGATGATTAAAAAATAAAAACCAAAAACAGGGCTTATTTTTCAAAACTCTAAACTTGGAAAAATCTGGAGGGAGATTTTCTTTCGCAAATTATTTATCAAGTTCTGTGTATGGAATAATTTAAATTACATAGGATGCTTCTTTTATAGAAGACTCTAATCAAACTGATATAATAAGGTTTGTTTTGCCTTGCCGAATTATTTTTGTTTTGTTTATGGATTAATGGATTAATAAAGTTTCTTTAGACACATCCTTCATAGCAGACTCTAATCAAACTAGATAGACTGAGTCTAACTGTAATCAGAGTTTTTTAAGTTATGCTTATCGACTTAATTATTTAAAACACATCCTGTAATGTCTGATTGCATTTTCTCTATCAAATCAAAAATATCAAATCAAAACAGATTATTTTCCCATTGAAGGATTTCTTCCTTCCAGACACATCTTCCTTCCTTTATAATTGCGATGATTGCAAGGTGAAGTGTAAAATCCAAGACTTGACCCAATCAAAATTTTTTTCAAATGATTTTGCAATAACTTAAAAAGTAGTGAGGTGATTTTGTAAAAATGATAGTCATGACAGTGAGGGGGATTTGCTATGCCTAAGCATTGCTGTTATCTAGATAATATACATGTGAGTTAGACAATCACCATCCTTCAAAGTTAGATGAAAATTGGTTCAATATATTTTCATTCACAAGACAAGTTTACTTAACTATTTCAATACTTTAAATATCTTTTTAATCAAACCATTTAAATTCTGACATGTACAGAATGCATGAAATACACACATTTGAAATATATTTTTCAAAGAGCAAGATAATTATTTTACGTTGTATTGAGATAAAATTGCCATAGTTTTAAAGGGTTGCATTCGATTGAAACGTCTTGCAACCAAAATTGTCAAGCGTTTACAATGGTTACATATGATTGAAACATTTCAATGAGTTTACAACCAAAATTGTAATGGTTGCATTGTAACGGTTGGCATGGTTGCATAAATGATCGGATCAATGATTGTACAATGATTGTGCAACGGTTTAAATTCGGACTTTCAAGGTTGAATTTTTTATAAGGGTACACAGACACAATG